CTTCATGACTCCAAAACCAGCACCTTGTGGATGACACTGCCAGGGAGAGCTGCAAACATGGGATGAGTTCTGCCCCCGCTGCCTTTAAACACAGCAGCACCTGTTGTTTTTGTTGCTTTATGGGAACAGATTTTTTTTTTTTTCTCACAAGTTGGGAACTTAGTTGGCTGGTGTCTTGTCCTAAGGGCACCCTTCACTTTATTCCACCGCAGATTTGACCTCTTTTTAATGGTGTGACAATATTCTTAACAGTTACAGCCTCCTCCCCAGCTCAAGCCACAGCTGTAACATTTAGCTTGGCAGTATCTTTTTTTTTCTCTCCAAACTATAAAGTTAGCATTTCTTTCTACCTCATTTGCTCCTTTTCATTGTAGACTTACATATGAATGATTGCTAATAATCGTGCAACAGCACTGATTTTAGACTATATTGAAATCTCTACCAAAGAAATTAGTCCATGACTTTTAAATTTAGCTTTAGGAAAGTTCTTAGGATAAAGTTTAAAAAAAAAAAAAAGCAGCCACATTATCTACCAAAATATCCGGAGTGGTCTCTAGCCTACTTGCTAATTGTTTATCTGAAATCGCTTGCACTGGACCTCTACTTTCCCATAGCTCAAAGCCCTATACTAACTATACTATATACTAACATGGTCCACTAAGCTCCCATCGAGCTTTGCAAGTGTTCACTACTTTTCTAGTTTAAAGTTCCATATTCCTCTAAAAACCAGCATGGTCAAGTCAGTCAGAGCAGTGGCCCTCTCCTTGGTACCAATTTCTTTATTTGTTACTTTTCTGTTTCTGTGATAAATACTACGGCCAAGACAACTTTCAGAAAAGTTTATTTTGGGCTTAGAGTTCCATAGGGTTAGGGTTCATAATTTTTGGGACAACATGACAACAGGTAGCAGATGTAACAGCTGGAAGCTGAGAGCTAAGAACTCAAATTTCAAACTAAAAACAGAAAGCAGAGTGAATTGGGAATGGCATGTTGCCTTTGAAACTTCAAAGCTTGTCCCCAGTGACACACTTGGTTCAGCAAGGCAACATTTAAATGTCTTACAGGACTACCAACTAGGAACCAAGTGTTCAAATGCCTAAGGCTTATGGGGAGCATCTCATTCAAGCCATCACAGCTAGTATTAACCATTTCCTCATTGAAGGTGCTGTTTCTTCATATTCTTTTAAATTTTTCACAAAAAATATTATTTCATAATCAATATTATCAATAATGTTATTTTTAATGAATTGTTTTAAGATTAAATTTTATAAAACTTGTAGTCAAATTTATTACAAAGTAAATATTTGTGCATGATGAGCTCCAAGGCTTGTAAATAAATAGTGTTTTTTGACATCCTATGTATGGTCAAGCTTTCTTAGAATATGGAGTTAAGCCGAGATCCACTGGAATTAATAATTGTTTTAGAAGAAGTAAAATAATAACAGTAAGCAATGATTACTTAATATATCTCCTTAATGATATACTAAAAATAGCTCTTTTACCCTATTTTGCCCTCAGCTCTATAAAAGTATTACAAAACAATAAAACAAAGACATCTAACCTTTATTAGATGCATGACTTACAACTGAAGCTTATACTATTATTGTAGCTGAAAAGCTAGAGGCAGAATTCAGCCTCACATTCTGTTCAATTCACATTAACTCTCCATAATTTGAATCTCGTCTTCTTTCCTATACTTACCCCCCTTTATTACCACAATTGCTTCACATTGAGCAAAATTTGCATACGCATTAATTTTTATTTTTGAATATCCAAAAGACTAAAGTTTTTTCATCACTTAAGAATAGATACTTTGTTTGGAAGCAATTAGTTTAATGCTTCCATTCAAATCATATTAGCTGACTGATGAATTGTTAACCTCCCAGCATATGGAAAGCATTACTCAAAAATTCATTTTGTTGTCCTCTCATGGAAAATAACTCTAAATAGAGAATAAGAATCTGTTGTTTCTTTCCTCAAGAGTTAGACGTAAAGTATGAACCACTTGAAAGTTTGCAACTCAAGTGTATTAATCAGCCAGGACTGTCATTTGAAAAAAGAAAAATTCCATCAAGCAAGCAGCTTAAACAACAGAAATTAATTTTTTCACAGTTCTAGTCAGAAACCTGAGATGAAGGCATGAGCATGATTTCCTCCTTCTTAGAAACAAAAGCTCTGCTATGTGCCTCTTCCTTTGGCTCATTTTTCCCTCCATTTTCAATCTGTCTGTCTACATTTCTTGTTCTTAAAAAAAAATTATTAATTCTTTGAGAACTATGTTTTGGAGGCAGAGAAATGGTCCAGCCATTATAATAGTCATCAATGCCATCTTGCTTAAACTGTTCTCTTTTTTGTCTTCAGATTGTTTGCAGTGATTTCTCCTGCCAAAACTTCTACCAGTAACCTAGCAGTAGCAGTGGAGGTGGGGTTGCTAGTTGTATACTTTTTGTTTGAATGACCAGGACATAGTAAAGAGGTTAATATTTTTTTTAGTGACTTTACATCTTTGTGGCTCATGGGTTTTTATCTTTTGTCATTTGTGGAGCTTGTGATGATACTGCTAAAGGCTGTTACAGTTTTGTGGTTTTTTTTTTTTAATTTTCTCCAAAAAGAGAGTTTGTTTTGAGAGGATATAATGTTCTTCTCCCTCTCCTCCCATTCCTTTTTATTTTCCTTTCTTTCTTCCCATCTTCCCTGTTAAAATTTCTGACTAGTAGTCTATACTCTTGACTAGGTGTTGGACCACTTAATTTTACTCTGGCTGTATATTTTTGCATTGCTGTATTGGCTTTGCTATCCAAAGTATAAATGTATAGCTAGTCTTAGGAGAGTTTTTTGAAGAACAGAGATCTATTGCCTTCAGAGAGTATATCAAAAGAGGCTCTAAGACTCTGAAACATCAAAAATGTGCTGCTTTGCTTGTGACTCATATCATCATTATTGTTGCTGTTGTTATTCCCTTTTTGTTTTTTAAAAACACAGCCAAATTACTTACTGTTCTTGGAAATATGCATTAGTATATCTTGTTTGTTAGTATGCAAACCACATATAAATTAATGCATGTGTGTAAGAGAGAGATCTTTTTCATTGGTACCGGCAGAGTTTTTAAATTGGCCTTTACATTATAAGAAATCAAAACATTTCGTTAGTGCTTTTATTTTTTAGCATAATATTTTTATTATTTAGAAATTTTACATAATGTGCCCTGATCACCCTACTTTAAAACTTTTAAAGTATTTATCCCCCACCACCACCCCCTCTACTATGAGGTATAAAAGCTTTGGAAACAATAATTATGGACAGCTAAGAATTTTAGAGTTTTATTCTACGTACCAACAAAACAGAAAGAAACTTAAGTGGGTTGTTAATTTTTTTGTCCACAGATCACCATGAAAAATAGTTTTTAAAAGTTTTTTGTTTGTTTTGGGTTTTTTTTAATTGTTTTTTTTGTTTGTTTGTTTTTTAGACAGGGATTCTTTGTATAGCTTTAGAGCCTGTCCTGAAACTAGCTTTTGCAGACCAGGCTGGCTTCAACTCACAGAGTCCGCCTGCCTCTGCCTCCCGAATACTGGGATTAAAGGCCTGTACTACCACCGCCCTGCTACCCTCAAAATTTTAATACATGTGTTCTGCATGTTTTATAGTCTCTTGGGTTCAGGTTTTCTAAATCTACCATCAGCATATGTTCAGGGTATTCATATGTTATATGGTAATCTTTGTACCAAGGTATTAGGAAATCTGTTTATAGATGAAGGAACTTATGTTCAGAGGTGGTCACACAGCTACAACTATAGCATAAAGTCACTGCACTTGATTTTCCATCCCCTGGACCCTGACACTTAAAAACACAGAAGCGATGTAAACATTAGGAAGTATGACTTCTAGCTTTTATGTATATAAGTATAAAACTGCAGAAATTTAAAGCCCGGCGGTGGTGGCACACACCTTTAATCTCAGCACTCAGAAGGCAGAGACAGGGGGATCTCTAGTTCAAGGCCAGCCTGGTTGGCAAGAGCGAGTTCCAGGACAGGCTCCAAAGCTACAGAGAAACCCTGTCTCGAAAGACCAGAAAAAAAGATAGAGAGAGAGAGAGAAAGACACACAGAGAGAGACAAAGAGTCAGAGAGAGAAAGACAGAGAGAGAACCTGCAGAAAATTATTAAGGGTTATTCATCATGCATTTTTTTTAATCATCTAGGAAATTAGGAATTGGGGTTTATAGCATAAATCTAGAATGATGTATAGGGCAGAACTTGATGGCCAGTTGGCTAGTCAGAACAATTTTCTTTCTATTCACAGCATGCTACTACTTTGAACCTCTTCTGTTTGGGCCAGTTTTTTTTAAACCTTATAATGTAATATTTTTTTATCTTGTTGGGTATTTTGTTAGTACTTTTGTCCATTAAATTTTTTTAATTAGGCATATTTGATTTTTAAAAAATTCTTCTTTAAAGTTTAGGTATAACCAAGAAAGACATGTAAATTGGTTTGTTTCTTTGTTTTCATACATTTGTAATCTTTGGGTCTATTTTGTCCAATAACTTTATAGTAACAATATATTTATAGTTAGATCTGTATAATTATCTTTATATTACTTTATGACATCATAATTCATTAGTAAGGAAATGCAACCAAGATTTTAAATTAATATACAATTCATCTTGGAGTAATATTGTGTTCATTTCTTTTAAGTATTTTGGGGTTAACACATCCTTTAAAGTGGAATTTGATTTTTATCTTGAATATGCTCTGTATAAAGGTGACTTTTCTAGCCTAGATATAAAATGTTTATTTTGTTTTTAATAGGAAGAACTGATTCCTTTTTTGATAATCACATCAATTTAGAAGAATGAATTTGTTTTATAACTTAAGGGTAACTTATTGGCAGAAAATATACAAGTAATTTTTCTATTGTTATCCAATTGGGACTACATCTAACTTGAGATTTATTAAAAATAATTCATGTAAATTATTTCAATTATTTTTTCTTCTTGTTACAGGAGCTAGAGTTAATGCCAAAGACAGCAAATGGTTGACACCTTTACACAGAGCAGTTGCATCTTGTAGTGAGGTATGCCATTTCTCTTAGTCAATTGTATATAAAGAAACACTAAGTAAGCCTGCATGGGTCCATCTTTAACTGAAGAAAAAAAACTACTAAAATATCTAGGCTGGTCATTTTATTCCAGAATTTGTACAAACTAAACTAATTGTTGGATTTCTCCTTTTGTGTGTCTCTTTGGAGTCTGGAGTAAACAAGAGTTTACTATTTCAGTCCCTCCAAGAGAAAGCGTTTTTCTTTTTTCTTTTTTATTGGTATTTTGCCTGTATACATGTCTGTGAGAGAGTGTCTAATCCCCTGGAACTGGAGTTGCAGATAGTTGTAAGTTGCCATGTGGATGTTGGGAATTGAACCTGGGTCCTCTGGAAGAGCAACCAGTGCTCTTAACCACTGAGCCATCTCTCCAGCCCTAAAAAGCATTTTTCTAACACATAATCCTCTTTGGGTATTTTATTTACTGGTTCATAATACTTTGTCCCAAGGGTTTGCTGAACATACTGTCATCAGTATATAATGACTAATTTGAAGGATTTATTTGAACATTAAAGTTACTTTTAGAAATATTACTTTTAAGTGCATTTTTGTGACTGTCGTGTGTATGTGTGTCTGCATTCATATTCACGTGTGTGTATGTGAGTGTGCTTGCATTGGTATGCACATACATGTGGAGGCCCAAGGTTGACATCAGACATTTTTCTTGGTCACTATCCACTTTATTCATTGAAATGGGGTTTTTTTTTTTTTGGTGAAACAACTCTGGCTGGACTAGCTAACTAGCTTGCCCTGGGTATTTCTTGTTTCTGTCTCCAAAGTGCTGGGATTACAGGTAGCTGCCTCACCTACCTGGCTTTTTATTTTATAACAGTTCTAGGGATCCAAGCCTGGGCCTATACATACTCATACTTCATCCAACACTGCACTGTGTCTCCAACTCTTAATTCCCTTTTCAGTTTGAAAAGTATTGTCTTAGTGAGTGTGAGTTTTCTCCCATGAATAAAAGACTCTTTCCTGCTTATAGTTCTATATACTGTTTATGCATTAAGATAACTGACATTTTTAGAAAGTTTCTTAATGTGTTTCCCATCTTCTAGACATTATAACACCTTTATATGAGAACAGATGTTTGAAGGCAACTGTTTTTTGCTTTTTCTGTCATTTTGCTGCTTCATTAAAGTGCATGAGATACTTAACTTGCCCAGTCATGTCTCTTTTTATTCAGCTTTCCATATCCCCAGAGGCAGCTACAGTTATTACTTACATACTATCATTTTCCCTATTGTAGAATTTTGTAAAATTGAATTAAACAATATGTACTGTTGTTTTGATTTCTGCAACATAGCCTTTTTAAGATTTGTTGATGCTGCTGATATTAATAATGAGTTCCCTTTTATTTGTAAATAATGTTATGCAGTTTGCCTTTCTGATTTCTTATTGGGTAGATATTTGTATATGTGATTTTATGGCTGTTCAAAAGAAACTTATATGAGTAGTTGTCCTTTTTGGGTTTGTTTTGTTTTTGCAGCTTGACAGAGCATGTCATCTGAAAAGAGATTTTTTTTCTCTCTCTCTCTCTTTTTTTTTTTTTACTTTTGAGACAGGCTCTTACTCTGTAATGTAGACTGACTTCAGACTCCTGATTCTCCTGCCTCATTCTCCCAAGTGCCAGGGTTATAGATGTGTATCACCATACCCAAGCTTTTTAGGCTGTGTGCTGGGGGTGAGGGGTGGAGGGTGCTTTGCCGGCATGTATATCTATGTACCACATACATGATTTGTGCCCATGGGTACTGTAAGATGGTATCAGATTTCCTGGGACTGAAGTTACAAATGATTGTAAGCTGCTATGGGTTCTGAGAATTAAACCCAGGGTCTTTTCAAGAGCAACCAGCACTCTGAACTGCTCAGCCACCTCTCTAGCCCCAGAAAGGGGAATCTTTGTTGAGAAAATGGTGTTATTAAGAGTTTGACCTGTAGGCAAGTCTGTGAGGTGTTGTCTTGATTGATGATTGATGTGAGAGGGCTTAATCCACTGTGGGTGGAACATCCCTAGGCAGGTCATTCTGGGTTATTTAAAAAAGCACACTGAACAAGTTGGGAAGAGCAAGCTAGTAAGCAGCACTCCTCCATGGCCTCTGCTTACCTGCATCCAAGTTCCAGCCTTGAATTCCTGCCCTGACTTCCTTTTATGATAAACTTTAAGATGAAATAAACCTTTCCTCACTAAGTTGCTTATGAGTCATGTTGTTTAGTCACAGCAGTAGAAACCCTAACTAACTAGTACAGCATTCTTGAAAAGGTTTGTTTATTTTCTCTAAATGGAATGGAATTGTAGGGGCCATAGGCCTCTATGTATCTTTGATACACTGTTTAACTTCCTCAGCAAGTTAGTAGATTCCTGAGCATTTCTCCAGTTCTTCTGCTAACCCTATTAAATACTACTGGTGTTTCCTGTATTTCAGACCAACATTGTGCTTATGCTATGTAGTCATCCTTGAACCTTTCTATTTTATAGCTCTCTGTGTGCACTAGGTAGTAATATAACAATTGTGAAAAGAGCGGTGCTCAGTTAGTATCCTTTTTATCCTAGACAGAAGCACCAAGGGCAGCTTTACAAAACTTGAATCGTGTCTTGTAAGTGATAGAATTAAGTTCTTTATATGTGCCTGAGAGTGAAAGCTGAGTCATATAGTAGTTCTGTTTTAAATTTTTCAAGAATCCTCAAGCTAATATCCATAATGGCAGTATTAATTTTCACCTTCAGCAGTGAATGTGGATCCTTCTTTCTCTACATCCTCCTCAGTATATGTTGACAGTCACAAGCAGAGCCAGTGAGCTGTGAGCTTGACTAGCATCTGCTGGGAGGTCCTTCAGCCATGTCACACCTGGAGGGTGTTGGGAGTTCTAGAAGGTCCTTAAGAGCATTGGCCAGTGGCTAGCTCTGACAGTGACAGCTCTAATTCATCAACTGTGCAAGAAATTTGAAGATCTCAGAAGCCAGAGTCACACAGTGGCCAGTCTCAGTCTTTTTGCTGATGGGGATCAGTGCAGTGACTTGATGTCAGGGAGCTTTGTGTCAGAGAGCACAGTAAGATCTGTGGCCACCTCCAGTTTTGTGCCGATCCAGTTGGTGGTAGCTTTGCACTTCCAGGGCTCACAGCTTAGGGCTGATTCATTAACTTATCAGAGAATCTGTCTTAGGCTTGGCTCCTATCTGGGTTAGCTCCCTTGTGACTAGCTCCTTAACACAGCTTGCTAACATTACATTTTTTTTTTCAAAATCACATAGAATGGTTTTACATAAAATAGTTTTCTAGTAATGTTTCCAGCACTGTCTGATTTACTTATTTAGATTTATTTACTTTGGCTTTATGTGTCTTGAGTGTTTTACCTGCAGAGTCCAGATAAGAGCCCTTGGTCCCTGGAACTGGAGTTCCAGATGATTGTAAGCTGCCATATGGGTGGGTGCTCGGAACCAAACCCAAGAGCAGCAAAATACTCTAACCTCTGAGCCGCCTCTCCAGCCTCTGTTGTTAGATTTCTCGATGATAAGCCATTCTGAATAGGGTAAGAGTAGTTTTAATTTGTATTTCCCTGATGGTTCGAGATATTGAATACTTTTTTAAATCAGTCATTGACTGTTTGTGTCTCTTTTAACTGCTCAGTTAACTTATCCATTTGTTGATTGGCAGTTTTATTTCCATGGTTTTTAATTTCTTGAGTTATTTGTAAATTCTGGATGTTGACTCCTTGCGTGACATGTAGCTGAAGAGGTTTTCTCCTATCCTGTGCTATTTCCTCTGTTGATAGTTTCTGTTGCTGTAAGTTAAATCTTCATAAAGTCTGATTTGTTGATACTTAAGGCTAGTTACTGTGCTGATAGTGTTTATTCAGAAAATTCTTGCTGAGCCTAGTATCTTGAGTATTTTCTGTTTTATTTGTTTGAGTGTTTCAGGTTTTAAATTAAGGAATTTGATCCATTTACAAATTTATTTTTTTGGCAAAGTGAAAAATTAATCTGATTTCATTCTACCAGATAGATACCCAATTTTGAGAACACCATTTTTTTGAATAAGCTATCATTCTTTCAAATATGTGCTTATTGTCAAAATTAAGTGGACATGGCTTTGTCTTTTATTTCTGAGTCCTCTTTTCTGTTGATCTTCCTGTTTTTATGCCAGTATTAGACTGTCTTTATTACTATACTGATAGTATAGTTTGGGATCAGGTATTATCATACCCCCAACAGTATTCATAATCCTTAGGGTTACTTTGGGTATTTGTAGTTTTTTGTGGTTCCATATGATTTATTGTTTTCTTTTTCTAAATATATTAAGTGTGACAGTACACTTACTGATTTGTGTGATCTGTTAAATATAACATTCGATAGATTTTTTATAGGTAATTGTACTAAATCTATGTTCTTTTTGTAATACAGCCATTTCCACAATATTAATTCTACAATCCAAGAGTATGGAAGGTTTTTCCATTATCTGGTACCTTCTGTGATTTCCTTTTTCATTGTCTTGAAGTTTTTGTTGTATAGAGGTCTGTTCACTCTTTGATTGGGTTATGTTCCTAAATACTTCACGTTTTTTTGGAGTTATTTTGAATGAAATATTTTTATAATTTATTTCTATGAGAGTACTTTGTTGGAAAATATGAAGTCCACTGGGGTATTTTTTATGTTGGTTTTTGTATTCTGCAGCTTTGCTGTGTTTATTAGATCACAGAACTTTCTAGTAAATTACATAGGGTCTTTTAAGTCAAGGATCATGCCATCTACAAATAAAAATGATTTGACTTCTTCCTTTCTTATTTTTATCCATCTTCTGTGTCTTTCTTTTGCTATAGCTAAGACTTTGATACTGTATTAAATAAGACATAGGAGAGTGGGCATTTTTATGTCTTAGAGGAAATGCTTTCTGTTTGTCTCTGTTTACTATACTGTATGTTATAGCTTTGTTGTATATACTCTATTATTTTGAAGTATATTCCATCTATTCCTAATATCTTCAAGACTTTCTTATGAAAGTATAATGTATTTTGTGAGCGGCCTTTTTAATCAAAAATGATAATGATTATGTGGGTTTTGTCCATAAATTCATTTATATGATGTATTATATTTATTAGTGTATATATGTGAACCAACGTTGCCTTTCTGGGATAAAGCCCACTTGGTCATAATATATAATGTCCTTAATGTGTTCCTGAATTCTATTTGCAAGTTTTTTGACTGGGAGTTTTTGAGTCTGTGTTCATTAAAGAAACTAGTCAGTAGTTTTCTTATCGTTTTTCTTGTGTTTTTACGTGGTTTTGACATAAGAATAATACTTCATAGGATGAATTTGATAATGCTCCTTCGTCTGTTTTGTGGAACAAATTAAGAAGAATTGGGATGAGATCTTGGAAGTTTGATGGAGTGCAGCATTGAATCATCTAGCTCTGGACTTTCTTTGATGGGAGTGAGGCCTTTGACTATGACTTCAGTCTCATTACTTGTAATGAGCCTTTTTTCATTATTGATACCTTCTAAGTTTAATTTTTTGGGTGTTAGTACATTTTAAAAAATCTATTTCTTTTGGATTATCCAGAGTTATATTTAGAATATAGTTTTTCATAATAGTCCCTCGTAATGTTCTGTATTTTGCTGCTCTGTTGTAATGACACTCTTTTCAGCTAAGAACCAACCCTGGTTGATTTTTGTATGTTGTTATTTTGATAGTTCTTTAATTTATCCCCTAATCTTTATTATTTCTTACCATCCACAGAAATATTTGCACTCCCATGTTTATTGCTGCTTTAGTCACTGTAGCAAAAAACTAAATGAACCTAGTTGCTCATCAAGAAATGAATGACTATTAAGATCTTGTACAAATGGAATACTATTCAGCTTTAAAGAAAAATGAAATCACAATTTGAAGAAAAATGATGAACTTAGAATAATAATTGAGGTCACACAATTTCAGAAAGGAAAAATACTGCATATTTTTTCTCATGTGAACTCTGGTCTATAGTTTATATGTATTCATATACAATGTATATAAGCAAGCAATTATATGTATATATAGTATAACATGTAAAAAAAACAAGAAAGGGAAAATATTAGGTGATGAGGAAGGGTGGGTATAAGACACTTATATGAAAGAATATAAAGCTCATTGTTTTTCTAGTTTTAACTCATGGATTTGGAGTGGGGGTATGGTAGAGTAAATGCATAAAGTAATAATTGATATTGAAAGTAAGACCCACAGCTGAAGTTCTTCTGCTTCAGAATGACTCTAATTGTAGAAATTCACATGATTTTTGGCTCTGACTGTCTTCATTGTATGATTTTTTTTATTTGCAAGTTCTCAACAATAAAGTTTTAATTATTTTTAAAAGGTCATAGTACTGAGATTCTGTTCTAGTTCTGCTGCTTTTCATTTCCTATGTGATTTTATACTTACCTACAAAGATAGGGTTATCACTGTAAGGACACAATTTTGCTGTTTAATTATGATTATATTTTTTAATGCCAGTGACATGATAAAGTCCTAGGAATCCTGGCAAACATCTGCTTTATAAAAGTGATAGTGTAAGGATCCCATGCACTTCTAAGGAGATGAATTTTTGGGGACAGTAATTCTTAAGTTGCTTCATTAGTAACATTCCTGTTAAATAGCATTGGAATAAAAACCTTTTCTGTACTAATTTAATGAACCAGGCCTAGTGATTTTTTTTCCACTTGGTAAAATGTAGTGCATAATTTTTTGAGACATAAAAAAATGTCTTTTTAAGTTTTTATATTTAGTATTAAAATAATACATATTATTAAAGCTATGCAATGTATATGCTAATGTATTTTGCTAATAAGAAGCCAGATGAACACTTAATGAAACACATGCATTTCTTTTTTTTTACTTGTGCCTTTTAATAGAGTGTTGCGCCTTAGTGAGAAATGTGAACATTTGTTACCAGGATGCATCTTTTTATGGCTCTAAGTACTATCATTCAATTAAAAATACTTTCTTATATTGTCATTACTTCTAGTGGATTCTTTCAGAACTTTTATTTTCTCACTGTGTGTACGTCTTTATAAATTCCTAAAAGTATTCACGCCTCTTGTTTATATTTTAGGAAGCAGTACAGATACTTTTGAAGCATTCTGCTGATGTTAATGCTCGAGATAAGAATTGGCAGACCCCGTTACATATAGCTGCTGCTAATAAAGCTGTAAAGTGTGCTGAGTCTTTGGTACCGCTTCTGAGCAATGTCAATGTATCAGATCGAGCAGGGAGGACTGCATTACATCATGCAGCCTTCAGTGGGCATGGTGAGGTAAGGCATTCAATGAGAAACTTATGTCTTTTTTCCAGCCTTTGATTATTAATGAATTTGCCCCCTTTTAATTCATTCACTTCATAGGAAAAGCAAACAAAATATCCTAGCTTTTCTTTTCCAGTAATATAAGTGGTTTCAAATTTAACAATGTATTTAGTACTTAATACACATACACTAGAATTTCATAATGGCCTAAAATGACAGCACTGTCAGCTCTAGGATAAACATAAGAGATGTTCTATCATTGTCAAGAAAGTTCAGGGAGACAACAATTTCATTGTTCTTTCAGAAGGAAGGATAATAGCAAAGAAAGGCAGTGGTGAAACCATGCTTTCTTTTATTTCATTATTAAGATAATTCCTTAGTGACAGAACCATCAAAAGAAAACAGATTAAAAAAATTAGTTGGGCTGGAGAGATAGCTCAGCAGTTAAGAGCACACTGGTTTTTCTTCCAGAGGTCCTGAGTGCAGTTCCCAGCAACCACGTGGTGGCTCACATCCATCTATAATGAGATCTCGTGCCCGCTTCTGTCATGCAGGCATACATGCAGACTGAACACTGTATGCATAATAAATAATAAATCTTTTAAAAAAAGAAAATTAGTCACGGCAGGACTGAGGAGCTGACTCAGTTCCTAAGCACTTTCTGTGCAAGCGTGAGGACAGCTCCCTAGCACTCAGAGAGCAGGCTGTGGTGGTGCACACCTGTGATCCCAGTCAGATCTCTCAGACTTGTCGGTCAGTCTGCCTACCCAAATTGGTAAACTTTTAAGTGTGAGACCCTGTCTCCAAAAGAAAAAAGATAAAAAAAAAGGAAGGTGTGAGACCCTGTCTCCAAAAGAAAAAAGATAAAAAAGGAAGAAAGAAAAAGAAGAATGATTAGCATGCTGGGCAGTAGTGGTGCATTGCCTTTGATTACAGCACTCAGGGAAGCAGAAGCAGGCAGATCTCTAGAGTTCGAGGCCAACCTGGTCTACAGAATGAGTTACAAGACAACCAAGGCCACACAGAGAAACCCTGTCTCAAAATAATAGTAATAAATAATAAGTGGACCATGATGGAGGACAACACCCAATATCAGCCTCTGATCTCCGCATGCACAAGCATACACTAGCACACACACACAAACAGGTATATACTACACTTAGAGTAGTTATGCTTTCGTCTATCATTGGCAAACCTAGTTGAACCAGAGTTAGAACTTTGTCCAATCTTACACATACCCCCCATCCTCACCTACCTTCCTTCTTTCTTGTTTTTTCTTTCGTTTTGCACTGTTTTTCTACTGTCTTCACTTCCCTTTCTTAATTAAAGGTGAGATATTACTATGTTCCACACTCCTTAACGCTAGGCTATCCTCCTACCTTAGCCTCTTCCAAGCAGCTGAAACAAGTTGCACTCGAGTGTACCCAGATCCTAGTCCTTCAGTGTGCAGGCACAAAACCACAAAATTTTAGAGTAGCATTCCCAAGATCTTGCAACTGGAAGCCTAGTGGCTTCATTGTTCTTCTCATTTTAATGTGCCAAATCCTTGCATCAACTGTAGCATAGATCACAAAATGGAGAAACAGTTAAAAATATTATAATATTACTATTGATTCATTATATTATAATAGACTATAAATATTGAATTTGAAATATAACATTTGAAAATAGACTAATAATTTTATTTAAACATAGCGGATCTACCATGAGGAATAAAATTAAATTTCAGACATTACTGGTACGAGACAGTTCTTTACATTCTATTAACACTTTAGGCTATAAATAGCGATACAACTTCTTTTTAAGTATTCCAGCTTTAGACTTTCACGGTTTGTACTTACTTAGATGTTCATAAAATATTGAATTGCAAAGTGGCGTCTTAAAAGAGGCTGCGGCCTAATTTCAGTAACACAGTGAACTCCCTCTCATGTTATCATATTACATTAAATGGCCTTTAATATTTTATTTCCTTTCTACAACTACAGCCATTCAGTACCAAAGAAATGAAGTTAAAACAAAGCACATTTATAAACAATTCTTCTTGTGAATCTCAATGAAAATATTTAATTTTATTCCAGATGGTCAAACTACTTCTGTCCAGAGGTGCCAATATTAATGCTTTTGATAAGAAAGATAGACGTGCCATCCACTGGGCGGCATATATGGGTATGTACTTTTTAAATTGACTTTTAACAATATATTTGGGGGAAATAATGCATTTTGGTTTTGGCATTTATGCAATTTTTCTAAAGTATAACTTACTTTACGTGTTCTATCTAAAGTAAGTTATACTTTAGAACACGTAAGAGAACCTGTAAGAGAGGTTTACTACAACAGTACACTGGATTTAGACTATAAAAACTGAATAAAACAAGAGACATCTAAGATGATGGCCTGGGATATTTAACTTAAGATGGGTATTTACTAAAAGCTCATTCTTTTAGTAAGAAGAATATCCATTCTTTTTATTGGGTTATTAATAAGTTGTGTAGATGGATTGAGAAGCATCTTATTAAACTGGAGGTATAACTGAAATGACACTGTGTTTGCCTTGCATGCAAGAAAACTAAACCTATTATGATCTAAGCACTGTGTGTACGTGTGTGTGTGTGTGTGTGTGTGTGTGTGTGTGTGTGTGTGTGGGGTCTTCATTTATTTGTACATGACACCTGTGCATATGTGTCAGGTCAACTTCCAGTGTCATTTCCCAGGAGCTATCTGCCTTATTTTCCAAGTCAGGGCCTCTAACTGGGACCTAGGGTTATATTAGACTGACCAGAAGCCTAAGAGCTTGCCTGTTTCTACTTCCCCAGCACTGGGATTATAAGTACACTCCCATGTTTAGGGTACCATTTTGGTCACATATATTATTTTGGTTTCCAAAACCTAAAAATGTAGTGTTTACTACCAAAAATATGTCCCTCTTCATATGTAAGGAAATTTTTTTGTGTGTTAAAGGTAAAATAGCCAGAAGGGAGTTCTGTTTCATCCTAAAGTCTGTTGTTCTATGTGGAGTTTTATATACTTAAGTTTTAAAGGCTTTCCTTGATATTTTATTGTCAGTTATTCATTGGGACAGTTTAAAACAGAGTACGATTTTAAAGAGAACATTTTGTGTTGTAAAGGTCTGCAGAAACAATGAAATACAATTTAGATTTGACTTCACAGTTATTTTTATGAAATGAAGGCCAGAATAATTTTGTGACTTGCTTGAAGTTGAGCTTCTAAAATAGTTAAGTGTATGAATCTTGGTCTGGGCATAGCTTGGTTCAAATGTCCTTGATAAACTTAATTATAAGGTATTCTGTGTTTTGGAGTTAGCAGCACATTTTTGATTTACCTTGTATTACTATAATACTATATATATATATATATATATATATATATATATATATATATATAATACCTGAGATTGGGTAATTTATCCTGAGCAGAATTTCATTTCCTTCAAATTTTGGTGCTTTAGAAATCCAAGGTAAAGGTTCTGTCATCTGGTAAGTGTCTTCCTTCCTGCTGTGTCATGTCGTGACATGACGGAAGACATCACAAAAGAGAAAGAAAGATGTTAAGTTAACTTTGGGTAGCAGAACAAGATCGAGTCAAGGGTAACACTAGATAAAATAGTGAATTGTAATGTTTTTAGTTGTTCTCTCTACCAACTTTTGTCAAAATTATTCTAGTTTCTTAGATTTTTTTCAATTCTCTTGAATTACAGCATGAATTATTACTCATCATGCATTAATATGCTATTTTACATTTCTTAAAAGGTATTCATGATATGTTTAATAATTTCTATGTACTGATCTGTTTGAGTTTGTTTGCTTGTTTTTGTAAATGTATTTTCAGGTCACATCGAAGTAGTGAAATTACTTGTATCTCATGGAGCTGAAGTGACATGCAAGGATAAGAAGTCTTACACACCTCTTCATGCAGCAGCCTCTAGTGGAATGATCAGTGTAGTCAAGTACCTTCTAGATCTTGGAGTTGATGTAGGTATATAGATTGAGCAGTATAAATTAATGTAGTCTTTGTTTTTACTATATTGTCAGAAATTGGGTTTGAAAGACAACAGTAATATCTTTGTCTTTTTACCAAATCTTTCCAACCCTTTAATTATCTAGTATCCTGATATGATCAACATATGTGTCTTAGTTAGGGTTACTATTGTCTATGCTGAAACACCGTGACCAAAAGCAACTTGGGGAGGAAACGGTTTATGTGGTTTATGCTTCCACATCACTGTTCATTATTGAAGGAAGTCAGGGCAGGAACCTGAAGTCAGGAGTTAATTCAGAGACCTAGAGGATTGTTGCTTACTGGCTTACTCCTTATAGCTTGTTCAACTCTCTTTCTGTAGCACCAAGGACCACCTTCCCAAGAATGGCACAACTCACAGTGGGCTGGGCCCTCTGCATCAATCATTAATTAAGAAAAATGCCCTATAGGTTTGTCTACACCTGATCTTACGGAGTCAGTTTCTTGATTGAGTTTCCCTCCTCAGATACACAGATGTGTCAAGTTAACATAAAACTAACCAATACAATAGGTAATTAGTCAAAATATATAAAGAGTTAAAACCCATTCCCAAATTTGCCCAAAGCTTTTCTTTTCCATCACATTTCAGGTCCTGTAGCTCTGTTTCTTCCAGTTTTCTAGGAACCAGCAGACTAGATAGCTCTGTTATTGTCAGTTTTCTGAGTGGTAATTCTACCTTTATTTAAATGACTGTAGCAGATCACATTATGGGATACTGACAAAAGGAAGGAAGACAACATACTTATTAACCAAATATACATATTGACTACTATAAACACTATATAATGATACCATTCTGATTAGGAGAGAATATTGTTTTCTTAGTATATATTTGATTCCTGAATAAGAATACATGTAGCTTTTATATGCCATTATTTAAATGCATGTCCTTTACTTCTTATTTTATTTATTCTTATTTTGTTTTGGGAACAGTCTCATTTTATAGCCCAAGTTGACCTAAAATTTGGAATCCTCCAGTCTCAGCTTCCAAGTGCTTGGGTTATAGGTCTGTGCCACCATCTTTTCCCCAATATCATTTACTCTTATTGTATGTAGGGACATGTTGATCAAACTTAACTGGCTTTTCAAAGTAGTGGATAAGGAGAAAGGACAGTGGAAAGAGAGGGAAGCAATAAAGTTAGTGTGATTCTAGTTAGACCAGACATGACAGGGCTATGGAGCTGCATTAGCTGAGGACTGTGAGAAACCCTGTGCTGAAAAACAAGGAAGAAAGATGTTGAAATGTGGGAAATAGAAGAAGTTGCAAAACACCCAGACATACTGTTGAGTAGGATCCTGAAAAGTACGAAATGAGTAAAAGTTTCATTGTTGTTCAGTAGTACTGTAGCTTTGTTTTAACCAATTAGCTTAGTGGCCTTAAAAGAGTGAAAAATAGATGAAGGAAGCATTCTTGTTTCTGCTCGCATTTATAATAAATTCTCCCTTAGCTCAAAGACTTGAAAATACGTTGTTTTTATTTTCTTAAAATAACTCTTGTGGAAGAATTTAACATTGTATGTGTGAAGCACATTCTCTAAGTGTGTGTAACCCATTGAACACTAAATTGTTTACTGTTGTGTTTATTATGGTAAAAGAACCTTAACATTATAAACCTCATCTTTGTATTTATCCCTTTTTTAACTAATAATTTAAAATAGCTTATAGTAGTAATGGAAAAGTTATTTAACATTCACATTTTTTTCCTATAGATGAACGAACCAAATGCCTATGGAAACACACCTCTTCATGTAGCTTGTTATAATGGACAAGATGTTGTTGTGAATGAGCTCATAGACTGTGGTGCTAATGTAAATCAGAAGAATGAAAAAGGTTTCACACCTTTGCACTTTGCTGCTGCATCAACACATGGAGCACTGTGTTTAGAACTCCTGGTTAGCAATGGGGCCGATGTCAATATGAAGGTATGAAAGAAAATGAGAATCCACACTTTTGGTACTAAGTTAACTGTCTAAAACAATTTTCATAACAAAGACCATCCAGAATTAAAAAGACATTCTGGTAAACTTAAGAACATGAATAAGGCCAGACATGGTGGTGTACACCTTTAATCCAGGTTTCTGAAGGTAGAGGTAGGCAAATCTCTGTGTTGAGGCCAGCAGAACTACACAGTTGAGACCCTATCTCTTCTACTACCCCCTCCAATAAAAGATAAATCTCTAAAATACTATGCTGAATCAGATAAAGAATTTAATACATTTTCCATCTGTGCAAGATTCTAGAACAGACAGAATTCTGCTTATTTGGAGTTCCAGAATTTATAGTCAGAGGGAAAATAACAGATCAGTTGTTGCCCATGGGAAGGAAGGATCGCCTGGGCAAGGGGCATGAGGAGACCTTACAGGGTAACAGTGCTGCTTTGTTCTTGAAAGACATTGTGTAATGTAGATACCCACTTGTGGGATATCGCCAGGGTTCTTAAGACTAGTGCGCTTCGTAATGTGCCAGCGTCCTGTTAGAAGGAAACAATAACTTTGTGTTAGAAGGTGTTGAATGTTGAATGATATACCCTGATTGTCACATTGTGATGACAGCTGTGACTAATGCTAAAGCATCAAATAATTGTATCAATAATGTGATGAAAAATACAGAGTTAAATGTGATAGAATTCAGATATGTATGTGAATGTTCATGCTGTGTACTGTTTTGAAATTGTTCTCATTTCTGAAATTTTTGTTATAAAATTTTTCATAGTGTTAGGATAAAACGTTATCTTTTTTACGCATAAAGAATAGTCATTTGGCTATTTGTCCATAATTGTTTTCAGGAGTAAGCATTTTAGAAATATGTTAAAATTCAGGAGTCAAAATAAATTTATTTTCACTGTGTAATTCCATGAGAAACACCGATAACCAATATTTCAAGCATTATTATTTCATAGTATATAATTGTTTTACATTGTTAAAGATGTCTTTTCACTGTTTCTTCCTGTATTCATTCATCAGTTTATCACTTAAGATAGGGTTTATCAAGTACTTTGTTTAATGAAGAAAACCACAATCAAATTTGAATCTTGTAGGATTAGTAGAAATTTATAAGCTTAAAAATAATATTTATGGAGAATTTTAGCTCCTTTTGAACATGGTGTACATGAGCACTGCCTTTCCTAGCTTTAGAATACTAACCTACACAAGAGAAGTGAAGCACCATTGAGTCTAGAGGGGGTTAGTTCATTCTCTTCTCTTTCAACTGAGACAAATTTATTTACTTCACATTCAAGGAAGGAAGACCAGAAAGTATCACTAAGAGCCTCTATTACGCTTCAGGCTAAGCTGTCCTTTTTAATATCTTTTAAATTATCTTACTACTTTATATATATATGGATATTTTACTTGCATATACGCCTTGTACCCATGGAGGCCAGGAGTAGGAGTCAGATCCGCTGGAACTGGAATTACAATTGTGAGTCACCATGTGGTTGCTAGGATTCAAACTGGGACCATCAAGCACTTAGTTGCTGAGCCATCTCTCAAGCCTCTAGGCTATGTTTTTAAAGAATTCACCTCTAGGGAATGTAGAAATACTCAAGAAAGCAGCCAGCTAGCAGGCGCGGGGTCTCTAGGCCAATGTTAAACCCTCTCTTAAAAAACAAAATGGGTGGCTCTTAAGGAACAAACACATGTTGTTCTTTGGCTTCCATGCATACACATTCACAAAAACATGTGCAAAATTTATACATTTAAAGTTAAGTATAATGGCACACACTATCATCCTAACACTTGGGAGCTAAGGGATGGTGATTTTGAGGCCACTGTGAGGTATATAGCAATACCCTGTCTCAGTTAAGAAGAAAACATACATGTATGCATGTATATGTATGTTTTCAATTCTCAAGTCTGTGGCAGCCTAAGAAGAACCAGCTTCTGGGCTACAGGTAGGGCTGAAAGGAAAAATTCACTGCATTATGAAGTTAAAACCTTTTTCTCTCTGAGGGATTTTTTTTTTTAAAAAATGACACATTCACACCTATTCTGTTGGATTCCTTTATTCTCTCACGTTGCCTTCTCTCTGGATGTTACAGTGTTACATTCTCTGCTTTCTCAATTCTATCTCTCATTTTAGCTCTGTCTTTACTCTTTTTTTCAGTTTTGTTTATTGATATTTATTGAGCTCTACATTTTTCTGTGCTCGCCTCCCTCCCTTTTTCCTTCCCCCTTCAACTCTCCCCCAAGGTCCCCATGCTCCCAATTTACTCAGGAGATCTTATCATTTTCTACTTTCTACTTCCCATGTAGATTAGATCTCTATAAGTCTCTCTTAGTGTCCTCATTGTTGTCTAAGTTCTCTGGGATTGTGGTTTGTAGGCTGGCTTTCTTTGCTTTATGTTTAAAAACCGCCTTTGAGTTGAGTACATGTAATAATTGTCTTTCTGTGTCTGGGTTACCTCACCCAAAATAATGTTTTCTAGCTCCATCCATTTTCCTGCAAAATTCAAGATGTCATTATTTTTTTTCTGCTGTGTAATACTCCATTGTGTAAATGTATCACATTTTCCTTAATCATTCTTCGGTTGAGGGGCATTTAGGATATTTCCAGGTTCTGGTATGACAAATAAAGCTGCTATGAACATAATTGAGCACATGTTCTTGTGGCACAATTGAGCATCCTTTGGATATATACCTAAAAGTGGAAAGTGGTATTACTGGGTCTTGAGGAAAATTGTTTCCTAATTTTCTAAGAAATCGCCACTCTGACATCCAAAGGGATTGTACCAGCTTGCATTCACATCAGCAATGCAGAAGTGTTCCCTTTTCCCCACAACCACTCCAGCATAAGTTGTCATCAATGTTTTTGATCTTGGTCATTGTTTTGATTTTGCATTTCTCTGATGACTAAGGATGTTGAACATTTCCTTAAGTGTCTTTCAGCCATTTTAGATTCCTCTGTTGAGAGTTCTCTGTTTAGGTATGTACTCCCTTTTTGTATTGGATTATGTGATCTTTTGGTGTCCAATTTCTTGACTTCTTTGTATATTTTGGAGATCAGACCTCTGTTTGATGTGGGGTTAGTGAAGATCTTTTCCCATTCTGTAGGCTGTCATTTTGTCTTGTTGACCTGGTCCTTTGCTTTACAGAAGCTTTTCAGTTTAAGGAGGTCCCATTTATTGTTTCTCTCAGTGTCAGTGCTGTTGGTCTCCTGTGCCAATGCATTCAAGTGTATTTCCCATTTTCTTTTCTATGAGGTTAAGTGTGACTGACTTTATGTTGATGTGTTTGATCCATTTGGACATGAGTTTTGTGCATGGTGATAGATATGGTTCTATTTTCATTCTTCTACATGTTGATATCCAGTTATGCCAGCACCACTTGTTAAATATGCTTTCTTTTTTCCATTTGATATTTTTTGCTTCTTTGTCAAAAATCAGGTGTTTGAAAGTGTGTGGATTAATATTCGGGTCTTCTATTCGGTTCCATTGGTCCTCCTGTCTTTTTTATGCCAATACCAGACTGTTTTCAGTACTGTAGCTCTGTAGTAGAGTTTGACGTCAGGGATTGTGACACATCCAGAAGTTCATTTATTGTACAGGATTGTTTTGGCTGTCCTGGTTTTTTTGCTTTTCCATATGAAGTTGAGTACTGTTCATTCAAGGTCTGTGAAGAATTTTGCTGGACATTGCGTTGAATCTGTAGATTGCTTTTGGTAAGATTGCTATTTTTACTATATTAATTCTGCCTACCCAAGAGCATGGGAGATCTTCCCATTTTCTGGTGTCTTCAATTTCTTTCTTCAAAGATTGAAACTTTTTGTCATACAGGTCTTTCACTTGTTTGGTTAGAGATACTCCGAGATATTTTATGCTATTTGTGGCTATTGTGAAGGGTGATGTTTCTCTGATTTCTTTTTCAGCCTATTTTTCATCTGTATAAAGGAGGGCTGCTGATTTTTTTTGTTTTTTGAGTTAATCTTGTTTCCTGCTACATTACTAGAAGTGTTCATGAGTTGTGGAAGCTCCTTGGTAGAATTTTTGGGGTCACTTATGTAGACTATCATATCATCAGCAAATAGTGAGAGTTTGACTTCTTTTCCAATTTGTACCCTTTTATTCTCCTCTTGTCTTACTGCTCTAGGACCTCAAGAACTATATTGAATAGATGTGGAGAGAGTGGACAACCTTGTCTTGTACCTGATTTCAGGGGGATCACTTTGAGTTTCTCTTCATTTAGTTTGATGTTGGCTGTTAGATTGTTTTTATTATGCTTAGGTTTGTTCCTTGTATTTCCTCTCTCTCCAAGACCTTTATCATGAAGGGATGCTGTATTTTGTTGAAAGCGTTTTCAGCATCTAATGAGATGATCGTGTGGTTTTTATTTTTTAGTTTGTTTATATGATGGGTTACATTGACAGATTTTCAGTTGTTGAACCATCCCTACATCTCTGGAATGAAGCCAACTTGATCACGGTAGATGATGATTCTGATGTTTTCTTGGATTGGATTTGCCAGTATCTTATTATTTTTGCATCAGTGTTCATGAGTGAGATTGGTCTGTAATTTTCTTTCTTAGTAATATCTTTGTGTGATTTCGTTATCAGGATAATTGTAGTGTCATAAAAAGAGTTTGGCAGTGTTCCTTCTGTTTCTATTGTGAGGAACAGTTTGAGGAGTGTTGGTATTAGTTCTTTGAAAATCTTGTAGAATTCTGAGCTGAAACCAGATTTTTTTGTTTGTCCTGGGGTTTTTTTGTTTGAGAGACTTTTGATAACTGTTTCTATTTCTTTAACAGTTATAGATCTATTTAATTTGCTTATCTGGGCTTGATTTAATTTTGGTAATTGATATTTATCCAGAAAGTTGTCTATTTCTTTTAAGTTTTCCAATATTGTTGAGTATAGGTTTTTGAATATGATCTGATGATTCTCTGTATTTCCTTCATGCCTGTTGTTTTGTCCCCCTTTTCATTTCTGA